AACAAGGGCGGCTGCGTTTTTGCTTTTGCTGCCCATACACGCTCAGGATCATTTGCATCCCATGCCTTTTGGGGACGACGGCCTCGCGCGCTCATCGGCCGTGCGGCAGCACGCTGCGCTGACGGTCCGTCCGTGCGGTTACGTCGTCACAGGAAGGGTATAGACCTTATGTCTACTGAAGTATTCCCACCAGGAAGTCTTGAATCGAACCACTTCCCTAGAACCCTACTACCCGGATGTACCCGGTATAAACGAGTCATGACTGGACTCAGATGATTTATCCAGCCGTTTGATCAAATTGACATGCAGTCTTCTGGGTGGGGCAAGGAGTGGCAGCCGCCAGAGAGGAGAGGTAGCCAAGCAGGTGGTTGGATCTTGCAAGTGTACAGTGGTTTCAGAGTAGATGGCACAGACCCCATGATGCCCTTTAGATGGAGGTCCATATAAACCACGTCTTGGGGTTTGCGCTATCTCTCAATCCACTAGTGTTTCATCGAGACCCTCTCTGACCCACGAGGTCGTCATTGCACCGTCTCGAGGTCCACAAGAGGTTTTGAGAGTCCTTTACAGTAGCTGGTGACCTAAGCTGAGGGTCCAGCGAAATCTAGATGTATAGAATTATTTGTTTATCATATGTTATAGATATTCTTTCAACCTGGCAAACATGCAAAAGGCTTCTTTTCTGCTAATTTATTGGTTTATTTTGTCGCAGTGTCCTTTGGTTTCTTTTCGCGGCGTTTGCCATGAGGTTCCCAGCAGTTGATTGACGAGAAGAACACCGCCTGCAGCTTTGCGACGCCCCTTGACCGCAAAAACGCGTTCGACGACGTTTGACCCATGGAGACAGCGGCGCTTAAGCGAAAAAGACAGGACGGGAGAGCAGAAGGGCAGAAGGGCAGACAGATGCAGAATTGGATCGGCCAAAGCCTGCATGTGGGGAGGTTTTGGCAAATGAGCTTGCTACGAAAAGAGAGGTGTTGTATTGGGACCTCCTGAGTAAGTTGGGAAAGTAGCATGCACGGGATGGTTTGTTTGCTTATTTTGCAGACAAAGATAGGAGCCAAATTGTCAAAGACAAAACAGACTAACGCAGCCCCCACCCACTGAAAGAATCATTTGTTTTCCTTGCTGGGAAGGGCACACTTCCCATACTCAGCCCAAAGTAATGTTCATGGAAGGTCTCACACCCTAGGGGCCTGCATGCTATCACCCCAGCTGGTGGTCACCAACCCCAAAAAGCCCGGAAGCCCGAGCAAAAGTTGTGACCAACGAATTGGCCAGACATGGGCAGGACCTGCATGGCGAAGTGCATTGTTTGAGGGGTTCTCCATGTAGCTGGAGGCATGTCAGGTGTTTGTACCTGCAGAAAAAAAGCATGAAAACAACAATGCCTGGCCATGAACATTGTCATTCCGCGACTCTTTGCCCTTCAGTATTGCTATATGACCCTGGCACAGCTGGTGTTCTGAACGTTGTTTGTTCAGGTGATCCTGTTTGGGCTCTGGAGCCAAACCCATGTGACAAGAAACGTTTGAGCGGAGTTACCTTCCAAATGCACCCTCTCGCCAACAGGGATCGGTGGGCTTGACACACGTTCCATGTCTATTGAGGAAACACACAGCTTCGACCATCCTGACATCCTTCGAATCATAGATGGTTTGGCTCCGCTCCAGTCCCAACGACTGTCAGGGACTTGTTAAAATATGTTAAAGTGGTTTTCCCACAGGTCACGTTCGACCAGGTACCGAACGAACGGAGGAAGGAAGGATAGGGGTACTCCTGTCACATCCACTGGATGGGACGAACCAAAACCACCCAGGCCCTCCATGTGAGAGTAAAAAAAACTAGACGACGAGTGGCCCGAAAGCATTTTTCATCACGTAGGAAGTCAGAGTGCGAGTTATCTGTTAAGTGTGTTATAAGTGTTCAGTGTGAAGTGTTAAGTCGAGTGTGTTGAGGCAGTGTGTGGGTCTCTGTGTGTGTGTATCTATGTCTTTGTGTGTATGTGTCTCTCTCTGTATGTCTTTCTGAAGCGCAGGAACACCTGTTTTCTGCAAGTTCTTCACCTCTCGAAAGTCACCTCCGCGTAGTAAAGTTGTACTACAAAGTCGCCAGTTCTCATCTTCCAGCTCCACAGATTGCTCCGTGTACTAAAGTTCTACTACCAAGTCGCCAGTTATCATCTTCCAGCTCCCCAGATACTCCGCGTACTCAAGTTGTACTACCAAGTCGCCAGTTCTCATCTTCCAGCTCCCCGGATACTCCGCGTACTAATGTTGTACTACCAAGTCACCAGTTCTCATCTTCCCACTCCCCAGATACTCCGCGTACTAAAGTTGTACTACCAAGTCGCCAGTTCTCATCTTCCAGCTCCCCAGCTACTCTGCGTACTACAGTTGTACTACAAAGTCGCCAGTGCTCATCTTCCAGCTCCCGAGATACTCCGCGTACTCAAGTTGTACTACCAAGTCGCCAGTTCTCATCTTCCCACCGCCCAGCTACTCCGCGTACTAAAGTTGTACTACCAAGTCGCCAGTTCTCATCTTCCAGCTCCCCAGCTACTCCGCGTACTAAAGTTGTACTACAAAGTCGCCAGTTCTCAGTTCTCAGCTTCCAGCTCCACAGATTGCTCCGCGTACTAAAGTTGTACTACCAAGTCACCAGTTCTCAGCTTCCAGCTCCACAGCTACTCCGCGTACTAAAGTTGTACTACAAAGTCGCCAGTTCTCAGCTTCCAGCTCCACAGATTGCTCCGCGTACTAAAGTTGTACTAGACAGTCGCCAGTTCTCAGCTTCCAGCTCCCCGGCTACTCCGCGTACTAAAGTTGTACTACAAAGTCGCCAGTTCTCAGCTCCCAGCT